GGCGTTGGGATGGATGCAGCTCCGTCCGAAGACGGCCAATCTAGCCAGAGTTTGCTAGCGCTTGGCTGTCTGCTCTTGTTGAGGGGAGTGCTTCCGAGGATCTTCTGCGACAAGAGTTCTTTCTGCAAGGGGACCAGGCCCAGAGTTGCAAGTGTGGCAGGGCATGGCATGGCATTGAAACATGCAAAGCCCTCGAGTCCTCGAGCCTGTCAGGAAAAGGAGCTTGGCCTGCCCGTGTCTCCTCTCTGCGATCGTGACACCGTGCGGTTCGCAAGCTCACAGGCACTGGTTGAGCTTCATTTCTAACGAAGCCGTGTCTCACGAAGAGTGAAGCACTAGCTGAGAAGCCCTTCACTCGGGTTCGGGGCTTCAGGAGTATCGGAAATCAATGCAACCTGGATTAAAACCTCTCTCGATTTCGGGTGAGAGAAGGCAGTGCATCTTGAGGGTTCGCATGGGTGTTCTCTGAATCAAGTCCCTTTGGCTATTTCTTATTCTGACTCATTGCTGTCCGACTTGCTCCTGGTTTCTTGGGACTCGCTTTACCGGCTTGAGCCCGCGGATCATAACCACAGCACCACAGCCGGTTTACGCACCAGCCGAAGCCTTGCGGATTCCAAGCCGAAGTCACACCTTAGCACTTTCGCGTAACGACCCTCGACAACTTGCTCTGGATCGGGCCTAGATGTGGTGTGTTTGTGGTTGACGCATTTTTGCAAGCACGATTGTCGGTTAAAGGCATGCTTGGGTCGCATTCTGTACTGGATCATTCTCTAGATTCTGGAGTGAGGCGCGTGCTCTGCTGTAAGGAATAGGGGCGATCCTTGCAGTGACAAATTTTGAGTTGAAGTGAAGGTCAAGAAGCAAAGCCAAGTTTTTGTAGCGAAAATCGCGTGCATCCATTAGGATAGGTCACTGATTCGAGTAGACGATGCCTTTCTGCAGCCACGTTCCATGGCGTTACATGTGAACGTGACGTACGCTTGGCACAGTTGACCCGAGTGGCAGGACGAATGTCAGGAAAGAGCGGTCTGGTGAGACGACTCTGCGTCATGCAATGCCACACACATCAGCATCATCAATGGCAGGTCGGTTTCTTTAGCATCATCGTGCAGCCCACCTTTGCGCTCTTGGCAGAGCTGCAGCATCGAGTGAAGGCCCGTTCTTTCCTTGCGCGATTCTTTTCGACTGCACGGCACTCTCTTTTTCGCAGGAGACCCAGCTCGCGCACCTGCGGAGGAATACGGAAGCCTGGGAGACGCGCAAGAAGGCGGAGTCGCTCGGCTCGGTGCTTGGCTCGAAGCCTCGCAACAAACAAGAGGTCACTAGTCACTATTTTTGGGTCATTATCAAACGGTCTTGTCTGGTCGTTCCTGGTATACTTGGCCACCGTCCGCCCAGTGTGTCTCAGTAGCAAGGGCAAGGGCAAATCAGCTGCTTTGGCACCGAGGTGTAGCGAACATGTAAGTCCCTCGCTACGCGGATCTCCACGTCAGATTGCTGTGCCTTCCACTGGCTGTGCGACCAGAGGGTCCTACACGAGGCCAGGCTGAAAGCTGAGCTTTCCACGGTTCGCGACGTTCGCGCAGCGTGGCGTGTCTTCAGGCACGAGCCTGGGCCAAGCGCCGCCAGAACAACTTCGAGCCCACCCAGTGCGCCAAGCCAAGTCTCGAGCGAGCCCACTCCGCTGCGGAGCTTGCCTGGGGTCTCATCTTCCAGATGTCCCTGAGTCCCTGAGCCAAGCAAAGTGCACCTTTCAGGGTGTACTTGCAAGGCTGCAATCGGTTCTGCCAGACTCCAGACCGGGCACCTTTCAAGAAGAGTCACTGTGCACACAATCTTTCCGCATGTCTGCGAACTGGAGCTCAGTGCGGGGAGTCTTCCAGCCACTCGCCTGGCACTGGGGAGTTGAACTCGGTGCTGGGTGTGCCCAGGTGCATGTGAAATCGCATCGCACCGGGCCAAAGCACGGTGGTTGCTGTGTGTTTAGTGCTTCTCGTGTCAGATTTCACGATTGATCTCAGTCCAGTGCTGGTGTGTTAGGCCTCGCAACAGTAGTGAACATCTTGGTGGGTCCACAAGCACTGCCCTATGCCAGCGGTGAATACTCGTAATGGATTTAGATAGTTCCCTGCTGAACTGGACGGGTGTCCACTAAGTAATGGAGAAGCGACCTGCCTTACCCTCAAGACGACAGATGCTTGGAACGAGCTTTTGAGGCAGATCGTAAGACTGCCTTGAGAGCCTTTGCGCGAAGTACGCTTTGCTCTTTCATCGACTCGACTGCGCTACCGAGGCTGTTGCAGAGTTTCATCAGCTTTCGTGTTGCCACGAGATGTGGAGCGGGACAACGCACCCGCCGACAAAAGAAGCGCAACATTAGATCAGGACACTGGGAAATCTGAGAAGGCAGTCTGTTTCTCTAAGCCCGTTCGGTGATACTCGACGACTTGTCGTCGGTATGTGCTCGAAGCATTTTGGCACGGGAGGGTTCCCGTTTTGGCCGGCAGCGCGGGTCGGCTTAAGGGGGAGGCAGGACTGAAGCAGCCGTTGATGCCCTTGTTCGTTCGCGATCTGCTAAGCTGCTCTAAGGCCATGGCAGAAGGCGTGACAGCGCTAGGGTTCACGATCACACCTGAGGGGTCCGGATGCAGGATCCTGAGCCTTTCGCACGGGAAATGCTGGGAGATGGATTCGCTTTAACTGAAACCGCGATGAGGTGCGTCGACCAGGGGGTATCGTCCTCAGTGAACGCTCGCTCGCTGTTGCTTTGCTGGTCTCGTGTTCGTTTTTGTATTGAGACATCGGCCCTTGTCGGATCCAAATGGGCATTGCCCCGTAGTCCCGTAGGGTTTCCGTGGTCGGTTGGCCCAGGAGCTCCTGCGAGCCATGAGCGATGCAGGAGAAGAGAAAGATGAGGAAGATGCAGAAGAGACGGAGCCAGAGGACCAGGGTCCGGACGACCGGCCAGCACTGAAGTCTGCTATTGCCGCTTTGGCACGGCAGCTGGCTGTTCTCCATGCCTCGAGCAACGTGGTTTTGAAGACACCTGGCTCAAGCAAAGTGTACAAGTGCAGAAGGGAGGTGGTGGCCACCTGGAGTCCTCCCTTTGAAACGTTGATGAAGGAGACTGCGGAGGACGAGGTGCAAATCGATGCTCCGCCCGAGCTGCTGGAGGACGCTCTCCGCTTCATGCTCCAAGGGCGCTTGCCGAGCCTTCCGAGCGATGAAAGTGGCAATCTAAGCGATCAGAGCGAGGAGCGGCGCCACTCGCTCCTCTCCTTTGCCGACACATGGCAGTTGGAGGATCTGAAGAGTACCTACGGCGAGATGATGATGGCAAGGGAGCGCCTCTCGGCGCAGAACGCTGCGTCCTACTTGCAGCTGGGCCTCAAGCATTCTGTGGCTAACATCTCCTTGGCAGCAGCTGACATTCTCGCGAAGTCCATCGACGTGAAAAACGGAGCAGTCGCGCACGTGATAGCCCTGGATGCGGCATGCATGCAGGCCATTCTGGCCAGCGACGAGTTGCACGTAGAAGACGAAGCCGAATCCTTGGAACTGATCCAGCGTTGGGCTGCCGTGGACAAGCAGCGCTTGCACGATGTGCCGGGTCTTCTTATGCAGGTGCGGTTGTCGCTCTGCAGTTTTCAATGCCTGATCGACCTCGTGTCCAACTTGTCCAAGGATCCGTGGAAGGAAGTTGACGCGAAGCGCTTGAGTGCGAAAGTGCGGACAGTCGTTGATGAAAAGCTTGCAGCCGTCACATCAGATAGGATGCGCCACTTCACAAAGCTTCCAGACCCAGAGCAGGAGCGGAAACTGGCGGCAACTCTACAGGCCAGCAAGAGCCTCTACGCCGTCTGAGCGAGCGCAGATTTCGAGGAAATCTTCGCAAAAGCACCGCAACTGGAGCTAACTGACTGCCCGAAAGTCTCCGAAGAGCTTGTGAGAACGGAGGGGTCGCCGAGTTTTGCGCCGCTTCTGGGAACGTGGAACTCGCCGACCGCGAGGAGTATTTCAGCATGCGTCGCCATGAAAAATCAATCGGGTGAGGGGGTCCCGCCCTGCGCTCGCAAGCCCCGAGTTCGCCCAGTTCGGTTTTGGGCTGCAGGGTCATGGCAATGCATGGCCTGGCCTGGCCGCCCACGGGTTCATGGGCTGAGGCCGAAACACTTTCTGCTCGACCCTTCGGAGACCAAGTGCGTCCGGATCGGCCGCGGCCCCGATAGCGACAGCTGTTCCTTGATTCGCGTAGTGCATTCACTTGACCATGTGTGTGTGTGTGTCTTCTGTGCCCAACCGCAGACATTGGTTGCAGCTGACCAGCACATGAAAGGAACGAGATATCTTCACATTCTTCGCAGAGGCTCTAGCGGTTGTAGTAGGTACAATACTTGTCACTGGGTTTACTAATGGTGCAGGCTATAGGGGTCGGCAAATCAGAGTCCAGTGCGATGATCGGGCGAGCGACGCCTCGGAGTCATCATGACTGGCCTGGTTGGCCCGTTGCGAAGCCGATTGCCAAGGCCCGCTGGAGATTGGTCCAAAGGAGCGCAGCGCTGCAGGAGCTAATGGATGTGTTTGAGTCCGACTCCGATGCCAGCCAAGCGATCATGACAGCCGCCAGCGAGCGCGGCCAGTGGCGGGAAGTGCTCCTGCTGCACCGGCGCCTGCTGCAATCCGTGGGCGATGCCGCCCCGGAGCAGGTTGGCGAAGTCTTTGCAAACGCTGCCTCGGGGCTCATGAGAGCGCGCCAGTGGCAGCGTGCTCTAGGATTGATCACCGAATTCAGGGCACAGTGTCGGGACAGCTTGACTTTTTGGTCCGTGGCGCACATTGCTGAGCGTTCCAGCTCAGAGCGCTCGGACCGAGTTCCGATGTTCCAGCTCCTCTTATCCATGTTTTCGAACTTTGGCACCTGGGATCAAGTGCTCGGGCTGCTTCAAGAGGCACGCCGCTGCCCCGAAGCAGTGACTACGACCGACATTGCTTCAGTGATGACAGCCCTCACGAACCAGAAGCGATGGCGTATGTCTTTGAAAGTTTTCGCCGAGTCACGAGACTCAGTGGGTGCCGATGCAAAGATATACAAGGCGGCTTATCAGGCATGGGCCTCTGGCCATCACTGGCAGCAGGTCATCAGCCTGTTAGCGGAGGAGCAATCCATACTGGGTGAAGATCAGGGTGTCGATGGTGCCATGAGGGCGCTCTGTCAGGCAACAGTTTCGCTGCTGAAGATGAGAAGTTCCAGTTCCAAAGCCAGCTCAACTTCAGCAGCATTGGCAGCCTCTCGCATGCTCGCCGACATGCGCTCGAGAAAGCTCTCTCCGCCGATGCGCCTTTACAGCCAGGCTCGCCTGAGGCATTCGTCTGTAGGTCCTGAGCGCATTCTTCGGAGCCTTGGTGGTGCCAGGCAGTTGCGGCCAACGCGAGGCCCGTGCTTCGAATTCCCGCTTTAGCGGGCGCGTGCTTCAAGATTTGTTGACAGGGCGGGCGATCCGGATCAAGCACTTCAGCTGATTCGGCAAATGAGAGAAGAGGCACCGCATGTAGCTTGCAATGCTTTCGACTGCCAGCATTGGATTCGGTTTGTGAGGAGTTGCCACAAACGACGCCTGCCTCGCATCTTGAGCGAGTGTCATTGCCGCGTGTGCGAGAGCGCGAGAGACAGAATTAGTGGGGTGTCTGACTTCATTTAGTTAGTTTGCCCTGCGAGTCTTTCACAAAGGCTTCCCATACAATATGGTGGGCACTGACGCGCGGGGGTGGGGGTAGCTCCCCTAAACCCTAAAGCCTTGCGCAAGAACTAAAGGACCGGAGAACCTCACCATGACATGAGTATGTCTGTGGATGGTGATGAACGAGTGGATGAGCCCTTTAGAGCTTTCCAGAGGAGTGTGGGCGGTGTGTGTGTGTGTGTGTGTGTGTGTGTGTGTGTGTGTGTGTGTGTGCAGTGCACGTGTTGTGTGTTGTGTTGCATGTGTGTGTGTGTGTGTGTGTGTGTGTGTGTTGTGTGTGTGTGTAAGCCTCGATTCTAAGCTAGAGGTTTTTGGTGCATGCGATACAAGTGTTTTCCAGTGCTGCATTGTTCTTTTGTCAGCAGGGGGGCAGTGCATGCCTGACAGTCACTGCCCAACGAAGACACTGTCAGTGCATGGTGATATCTGGCCTGATCAGCCAGACGTACCTGCTTTAGGATTGAATGGCAACCAGGCCAAGCCAAAAAACCTGGCAAGCCGAACTGTGTGCTCATGTGTGTTTCGAGGACTTTAAGGTTCATGTTGCATTGTCAGGATCGTCACAATAAAGCTATCAGGTTATCGTCGACTATATCAACATATTATGGCAAAACTGGAAGTGAATGGTTCAGTCCTGATGGACTCCCAAACTCCGTGTGTGGCCTTGTCGCCAACGGCAACAACCGCTCCTGCGGACTGCCAGGGTACGTTTTGCGGCCCATGATGGTAACATAACAGGCCGTACTCCTTCGGGACAGGTCAATGGTGCAACGGCACTACAAAGAGTGGCCCTTTTCTTGTCAGGTGATGGGTCTAAGTGCTCCGAGTGAGCAACCGGAACGAAAGTGCCCCGATTGGTCAGGTGATGGGCTTGCGTGGCCACTGGCCCTACAGTGGCTCTAGCAGTCTTGAGTAACGAAAGAAGCAGAGACACCGAAGATGATTCATCGTTGGCAGCATCTCGGCTTGACTCCTTCTTTTGTTCGTAGTTTTTTGCTTTGTGAGCATGAGCGCCGATTCGTTGCCAGATGCAGATGTTACCGGGATTGATATCTCGGAGGGCGAAGGACCCTCACCATCGGAGATTCCGATACCCAATTTTGGGTTCCAGGGAATCGAGATTGACAATGTTCTACCTGATCGACTTTCTACAGGACAGGACATTCCGATGGTAAATTCTTCTTCCTCTGAGTCTAGGGAGGACACTTCAGAAGTCAGGTCAGACAGCGATCAATCGATTGCTCCCCCAGTGGAGAAACCTCAGCTCACTTCACAAGGAGTTGCTCGCGCGAAGAATGCTGCTAAGGTTCCCAAGGGATCCGTGGGACAGGCTTTGCAGCAGAGGAGGGAACAGATGTTGGGAGCAATCGAAGTCTGTAAGCCTCCAGAGGACAACATTGTGTCGGCTGCCGAGTCTTCTGCTTCTGACGTGGATATACAGGTTCAACAGGACCTGGCGGATCGTGCGGTTCTAATGGCGACTTCTCGCAGCCCTTCGGCACTAGGAGTGATCAAGCCTGTGTCGCCAGCCTCAACAACATCGGCAGCAGCACCTCCCCCTCCTCCACCACCTCCTCCGCCAGTGTCTTCTGCAGGAATCGAGTGTACACCAATGCAACCTCCGCAGTATGCAGGTGATCCACTACTCACAACTAGTGGGCAGGACGTGCACTCTGAGTTGGTTTTGTCGAGGACAGTGGGTGGAGCAGTCAGTGTCAAGCTCAAGAGCTGGCAAGGTCGTCTTATCATGCAGGCAGCTCCTGAGGACCAGATTCAAGGCAACATCAAGATTGTAACAGATCTTTGCAATGAGTCGGGCTTTCAGCTCCCGCCTCCTTTCGAGCTTCGGTGCTTTGCAACGATGATGTGTCAATATACAGGAGACACATCTCGCATGTTCTGTCGAGTGAAATGCCATGAGTCCAAGGCACATGTTTACTGGAGCTTTGATCTGACTGATCGCTTTGTACCACATGATGACTTATCAGCCGAACAGCGAAATTTATATTATTTTGCTCACGGCTCGGACATGGCAGGTGTGCAGGGCATAATCCAATCTCGGTTCTTGGCACCAGCCACATTGGCGGACGGCCCGGAGGCTGTAGGTCACTATTCGCAGGCAACTCCATGGAGTGATGACATGTCCTTTGTGCAGATTCTTGATAGGGTTACGAACTCTGCCAAATGGGCTTGCCCCATTATCACACATGGGTTTGCAAGTGTTCCTGGTCAGCAATTCGTTCTGAAGTCGGGCGGCGGAGAAGACGCCCAGCAACAGTGCCTCATACATGGGGTCGTTCACTTCAAACGGGACCATAAGTATGTGATCCACAGCGGAAGGAGCACAGTGGCAGGTTTCACAGTGGCAGTTGCCAAACAGTTCACTCCTTTGAGGGATGCTTTCGGTCGCCCGCTTTTTCAGGTTCCTCTGACACATGCTCAGCAGATCCAGCGCGGTGCAGGCAACTGACATCGTCTCGCAGAGGACAGAGAAAACAACCAGGACTTGCAGGAATGTTTCTCATCTTGACCATGGTGCAGGACTGATTGCATCTTTGATATGTGCACATCTGCTTTGCATAGCTTTTGGCCTCTCAGGTTCTCTCTCTCTTCTTCACTATCTGCTACACTTGAGCCATGTTGAATCGCCGTCGTGATTCGCGATCTCGAAGCCCACCCCGCTCGCATCGCAGACGTCCTGAATTCTCTTCTTCGGGTCGTACCACTCGGCACAGATCTCGCACTCGCTCTCCCAGAGTCGAACGACGCAGTTCGAATCTTCCGGGATCGTGGAGGTCAACCTCGCAGGAGTGGGACTCGAACAGGTGTATGGTCTGTCGTTGCCGAGACGTGTGACTTCTAATAGACTTACTCGGGAACAAGACATCGCAGGTATGGAGATTTTCGAGGTACCATTGCATCGAGTGGTTTCGGGGGGTACCTCCAATTGGGCTTTGCGACAGGTTGCTCATGGTCGTTGTGTACATTGGGAGAACTTTCGGTCGAAGCAGGAAGGGGTGTTCGCGGGGGTGCTAATGAGAGCACTTCGATCGGAGCAAGCAGAGCAAGAAGGCACTGATTTTGTTACCATTCTGAATGCTACTCAGAAGAAGTTGCATCCAGATGCGGAGCTTCATGATTTGTCAGCTCGCTACAAGACCATCCAGAAGCTGGCTGAGGACTTGGTGAAGGACTTTCGTAAGCATGCACCAGTTCAGACAAATCAGACCTTGCTGCAGCGACTTCATGCTCTTGAGACTGAGAATGCTCGTTTGAAGGGTAAGCAGCCTCGTTCTTCTCAGCCCGCTCTCCCCCGTCGACGAGAGAAACCAGCTTCTAAATCCAGACAGGCACCAAGGAGCCCCATCCCCGACATCGAAGAAGAGGACCTTGAAGCCGTTGGTGATGGTGAAGCAACCGCCGACTTCAGATCGCCGGCTCATGTCTTCTCCGAAGAGGAAGAAGAAGAGAACAAGGACCAGGGTCCGATAGATGCTCAGGACACCTTTTCGCAGTATCTCCCGAATCGTGACAGCACACTTTACCTTGAGAACTGCAGCTTGGAGGGTCACAACATCAAGAGTGTCAACAACTGGCTAGCATCTACTGCTATTGGGAAAGGCAAGAACAAAGTGATTGACACCGCAGTTTCCGAGTTCGTTGCTGCATGTGCTAAACTTGATGATGGTAGCAGGAAGCCAGTTGACAAAATCGCAGTGGAATGGGGTCTCTCAGTTTCTTCTAAGCTGAATGAGAAGTGCCTCACTCGCTTGATCGCGGGAGCTCACTTGCTGGCCAACCAGTGACTAAGTGCAGCTACGAGCGCGACAAGGACCAAGCGACGGCGGTTCGTTGTCACTTTTCTCCGATGGTTTTCATTGATTCTTCCCATTCTTTACATTCTCATGCCCCACAAGGTGGTCGACAGATTCATGTGGGTTCGCTCCCACATTTTTTCGTGTGCTCTATTTTCGAACGCTTTACCCAGGTTTTCCGCAGACATTTTCGTTCGCATCCGTGATCTTCTGGTGCAGTTTCGTGTACCCCAACATTATTCATGGAATTGGCATCAGACTTCAGGTATGGTTTATCTCCGCGTGTCGTTGAATCGCTCAGCGACCTCAGCTTTGCTGTATGTTGGAGCTACCAGGACAACAGTTCCAGGACGTGAAGCCTCGAGACGGCGCAAGTTCATTCAACTGGTCAGGAAAAGATTATCCCATTTTGAACCTGCACTCAAAGTGTTTCATCGCAAACGCGATTTCTATCAAGGTATCGTTTTGGCCCTGCATCAGGACTCTGATCATTTGTCATTGCTTGCGACGGAAGCTGCCTTGATTCGGACCATTAGACCGGCTTTGAATTATCCTTGGGTTCAGGACCTGTTGAAGTCACTACGAATCAAGCAGAACAGATTTCGTCTACCTCAGGCCAGAACAGGCTATCGGTTCACAAGGAAGTGTCAGTCTTTGATTCGACGTCGGCATGGAATCTATCATCAGCATCTGTTGAGCAACAAACAAGTGTTTCTCTCTCTCTATCGCTTGGGAAGTGACAGCTTGGAGAAATTCTTGGAGTCCAGGCGACTTCGTTCTCATCGTACACCTCTGCAGGAACTGTATCTTCGATGCAGGCTGGTCCACATGATTGACGAGCCATTCCGAACTCGAGCTGTTCAGCAGCTGCGGTTGATTATGGATTTCAGGAAAGGACACATGCCACCAACCAATGTGCCCCTTCGCCTTCCACCCCTTGCACATGATCTCGAGCAGGAAGTATGCAGGGTTCTCCGTGAAATTGTACGGCACGAAAGAGTAAATTTTCCACCCTTGCATTTGCCATCCTGCAAGATGATTGAGATCAAATCTCGTCCGTGGTCCAGGACCGTGTTCAACTTCAGGTCTTTTCTTCGATCATGGCAACCAGGCAAGCCGGTGAATTGCAGATGCACGAGATACTCGACCTCATCGGCGACAGGACATCTGTTTGCTCATGTACGTCTGATTCTTCCGGGTTCTCCTTTGACCCTTCTGAATCTTAATGACACATGTTATTTGCCTACAGCACAATGGAAGTGTATTGCGAACAGGGAGGTGCAGCGATGGTGTGAAAGGTGGAGATTACCTCCTCGTGTTCGTTCAGGACTGCGGCAATGGGTTGAACATCAATGTCATTTACATGAACAGACCGTTTGTCATGATAAGTCCTCGGTTCATACAGCAGTTCATCGAGATCTTCGACAAATGCGAGGGCTTGTTTTCACTCCGGCTGATCATTTCCCTTCCTCTCTACATGTTGCCTGTCCTTTTGCTTTTCACTCGCTATTGGACACTACATTCTTGGATGAGACAGTTTTTCAGAAATGCAGTGTGGGGTGCTCCTCAATTTTGTCGAACCTGAAGACGCGGTTTCAATCTACGCCCCGGTGGTCTCAAAGATATGGATGGGGATGTCAATGGACTGAATCGTTACCTGTAGCGCGAATTCTGCCCAAACCCAACAAGGATTTTCGCAAAGCACGGCCGATCATTGCGTGTGATCATTGTTGGCATTCTCGTTTGACGACCTTCCTGGCCAAGGCGATTTTCCAGATCATGTTGGTAGTTTTTCCGCCAGGATCCACATTTAATGTGCTGTCAGTTCAACAAGCAGTTCGCATGATGTGGCATTCTATGATGGGCTTTTCTGCAGATGAACCCACCATCATGAAACAGCAGGACCTCATCGGCTTCTTTAATTCTGTACCACATGATCGCTCTTCGTTTTGCAGCTTCTTGAAGGTCGTTGGCAAAAACCATGGCAGTCACAATCGCTGCAGGTTTCCGGTCGCAGCAAGGATCTCAACTTTCGCGTCTTTCCTGGACGCCGTAGGTTTGCTGCAAGGAACACTAAGACACTTTATCTGGAGGACCTGCCTGAGTTGGTTGTGTTCCTGTTACGATCAAGTTTCTTTCGATGTGGTTTCCATACTTTCAGGCAGATTCAAGGCGCCAGCATGGGATCGGCACTCGCACCGGTACTATGCACATTGGTCGCCTCGACCATTGAATTTCTGTGGCTTCGGAATTTTCGCACCATCCTGAACAACATCGGTTTTCAGACAGCTGCTCGATATGCGGACAATCGAGTTTTTCATGTCCAGGCAGGCATTCAAAGGAATCCGTGGCTTCAGCTGCTCTTTCATCTTGAATTCTATGGTGCACCCATCATCCTGGAGGACGTGTCGACTGAGACATTTCTAGGCACTACATGTTCTGTCACACAGGGTACCATCACGGTGGTACAACCGACTGCTGCCTCAACCATCCGTACACTGCAGTCAGTTGGCAGGAGACAACATGTTCTCTCTGGGTTTTCGGCCAGGGTTCGAACTATCATCAGACTTTCACGACCAATGCGATTGATTCGGCCACAGGTGGAGGACTTAATTGAAATCTACCAGGCCCAAGGTTTTTCGAGGAACGTTCTACAGCCCAGTGCACACCAGCTTTTAAATTCTGTCGGCATCCGATTCCCGTGAAAAGGGCAGGACCTTTGGTCAGTTGCAGCAGGTTTGCCACATTAGGTTGAACTGCGTGCTCTCTCTCTCCTTCTCTCTTCTCTCCCTTCTCTCTCTCTCTCTCTCTCTCTCTCTCTCTCCCCCTCTCCTCTCTTTCTTTTGTCGCAAGCTTCTCAGTGAACGCACATACCTGTTGCGGAGTTCACGGCTGCAGGATTAGAACATTCGTACATCAAAGCCATGAAACGGACAGCCGCCGACGCGGGTTTTCCGCGTGAACCGCAGGCTGTCAGAGTTACAGTTCAGATGCCAGCTGATCGATGTACCAGGAACCAGGCGATGATCGTTCATTTGGTGTGCTGCAGTTATAGGATCAAAGAGATGACAGGACGCCGTCCCCAGCTGCAGTGTTTCCAATTACATCAAAACGGGAGGCATTTCTCTTTCCTTGAACCGATCACTGCACTGGCTACATTGGATGTGGTTCAATTCGTGAGGACCGCTCCAGATTTCAGGGATTCCGATGATGTACAGAACCACCCAACTCGGTGGAATCCACAGGTATGGTGACTTGATTCATTCTGTATAAAAGGTACGCGTCAGGACAGTGGCCGTTGCATGGTTTGCTTCTTGAATGTCCCTTGTGCATTTCTGTCGGCGCATAGGTTCAGGACCCTCGGTAGGAGCAAGGGATTGCACCATGGCTCGATTTGTTCCGGAGGTTGCGTCAGATGACTGTGACTCTTTTTCCATCTCTGACGAGTACATGCCCTCAGGATGGTACGTCGACAATCTGAGCGAAACTGACAGTGGTGATAATTCTTCTACATGCATACCTCGATGCATCACCCCGGAGGATTTCTCCGATGTAGACTCTGCACACATTGGAGGTACCACAGATGAACAATCATTGGAGGACAGTGCAGTTGTTCCTGAAGCGGTTCCTGTTCCGGAACCAGAGCCACTTCCTAACAAACCTCGGCGACGTTTGCGCATGATGGATGAGGACTCTGACGGTGTTAGGATCAAGATTCTTCTTAGCCCACGTAAGATGTTTCGACGCCATATGGAGAACACCCGCATTTTAGGCGACGATTTTTACATTCCCAATCGTTGCTTCGCTGATCCTCGGCTTCCTCCAAAAACACGGAAATCGCATTGTTAAAGAAAAGCCAGGACCTAAGAAGAGGTTCCGCAGCACATTGGACTTGGTTCGCTATGTCTTGAAGACAGCGAAGAAATCGTCGACGGACTAACAATTGCAATCTGCCCAGGTCCCGGAAACAAGACCACAGCTGTTGCTCTCTTCTCTCTCTCTCTCTTTCTCTCCTTTCTCTCTCTCTCTCTCTCTCTCTCTTTTTGCCTCTTTCTGTTGTGCAGCATGTGCATAGGAGGCAACGCGCGAATCCACCTTTCAGGTTCGAGTTTTCATATCTTGCAGGTAATCAGCAGCCATGGACAATCAAATGATGAGAGATACTCAGTGGCGTGTCAGTCAAGCATCCACTGCTCAGTTGCTGGAGTTGCTCTGGCAGATCTGGGACAGGCTCAATCGCAGATTCCGGTTTCAGGATGGACCCATTCGTTGCCAACACCGGTGCCAACATTGCGAGAATCGTTGCTGCTATCACAGTCACCATACTACTCAGGAGCAACAACATGATTGGTATGGGCCGCACTACTGTTTCCTGCATGATGAAGACGGCTACCAACATCTGTGATCGATAGATTCCGACAGGATTTGATTCCGACAGGACTTGATGTCGCGAGTTTTTGTAAAAGAACCAGTGCCTGATGCGATTCGATACAGGACCCAGCTTTGCCCTTTTGAGGTACACATGTGAGCGTGAATGCGTATGTTTGCATGTACTTGTAAACTGGAGGTTCGGACGCTTTCACTACTAACGTTCTTCAGCACTGCATTGTCTGTCTCGTCGCCACAGCAATTAGACACAGGACCCAGGACTCCCCCTCACTGAGGGGTGTGTGTGTGTAAGCCTTGATTCTAAGCTAGAGGTTTTTGGTGCATGCGATACAAGTGTTTTCCAGTGCTGCATTGTTCTTTTGTCAGCAGGGGGGCAGTGCATGCCTGACAGTCACTGCCCAACGAAGACACTGTCAGTGCATGGTGATATCTGGCCTGATCAGCCAGACGTACCTGCTTTAGGATTGAATGGCAACCAGGCCAAGCCAAAAAACCTGGCAAGCCGAACTGTGTGCTCATGTGTGTTTCGAGGACTTTAAGGTTCATGTTGCATTGTCAGGATCGTCACAATAAAGCTATCAGGTTATCGTCGACTATATCAACATATTATGGCAAAACTGGAAGTGAATGGTTCAGTCCTGATGGACTCCCAAACTCCGTGTGTGTTGCGTGCGTGTGTGTGTGTGTGTTGTGTGTGTGTGTGCGCGTGCCCAAATCTGTGTTGTGCATGTTTGTGCGATCGCCCAGTGGCATTCATTGGTGTTTAGAGTCTTCCAAAACGCGTGCTGCATCCAGCAAGGCCCTTGAGAGTCAGCATTAATTTACAGTCTTCCAGAGGAGGGTGTCCCAATCGTGCGCCGCGTCCCGCAGAGTTTACAGTCTGCCAGATCTGTTGCGTGTTCTCTTGCGTGTGTTGTGTGTGTGTGTGTGGTTGTATGTTGTGTGTGTTGTGTGTGTGTGTGTGTTGTTAGTTGTTGTAGGTGTGCTGTCACGTGCTGTGCTGTGTCTGTTGTGTGTGTCGTGTGTTGTAGGAGGAGAAGGGAAGAGGGAGGGGAGGAGGGAAGGAGAAGGAGCGGAGGGCGACAGTAAGAGTAAAAACTACGCCCGAAAAGGGTCTGAGTCGAGAGCCCCACTGCCAATAGACATCGGCATCTCTTGGCTTGCAGTCGAGGCCCCAGATGCACCTCAGCTGCATGCGTTCCTTGGGCAGCAAATCGAGTGACCATGTTTGGTTTGTCGTGTTGGATAGGACTGCGACTCACTAAACCTCCGAATCTGAGGTGCCTTTCAAGCTGCGTGCCACTGGGAACAAGCCCTTGTCCTGTTGAAGGAGGAGCTCCAAACTTGTCGTTTGGGCACTTTGTGTTGCACATGGTTCGTTTTCCAGGAGGTTTCTCGAGATGATGCAGCGAGCTTTGAGGAAGGCATCTTTGCATGTTCCGGAGGGGGCAAGTGGCAGTTGGCAACTGAGCCTTGGCAGCCGCAAGTAATTCAACAAAGCTTGAACTCGTTGCCAGGGCGAGTCAAGCACATTGTCTTGTCTTCTTTGCAAGCTGAACAGCCGTTTGCGCTCGAGCTCAGGAAGTGCTCAATGAAATGCAGGCGCATTGCCCACTGTAAAATTTTGCAAGGCAGTAGTGTGTGGAAGCAATTCTTGGAAGCAGGCGCGACAGCTTCCCGTGAAGGGGGTGACGTATGCAACTCTCATTTCGGCCTGTGTCCGGGCCAAACAGCAACCTGGCATTAACTCGAGGAGCAGAAAACCATGACATGCCGCGTAGCCTGGAATTGTCCGAGTTGTCAGCGCGGAACTTTCGCTGATTCTACTTGCAGTCGGCACGGCTTGGTCTAGATTCGCTTACTAGCAGTTGCCAAGGTGGCGCTATGCCCTGTGGTTCTTGCACGAAATGGAGCGCACGGGTGCCGACAAATCGGAGAAGAATAAGGCGCCTGGATGCAGTGCACTTTACCATCCGGCAGCTTCTTCGAGTGCAGGTAATCCTCTATGGTGGCGTAATCACGACTTTCAATTGGCAGCGTGCCTTATGGCTTCTTCGCGAAATGCCAGCCCGGGAGGCGTGCAGCTAAGTGAAAGCAGTTGGCGGTTGCCCGCCGCATGGTGACGTTATACTGGGCGGAATGTTCCATCTGTGCGCAGCCTTCGCCGGATTCCTCCGTCCCGGCCAGATCCTGTTTTCAGGTGTTTCGGAGGAGCGGACTCTGCCCGCCAGCATGCAAATCCCGTCCTTCCCCCAAGCCTTCTTTGAAAAGCTGGATGACGCGGGCGTGCAACGAAGAGCCTGCCTTCCAGAGGCAGAGATGGCAGAGATGCTCGTGATGTTGGCCACCATGCAACGTTACCAAAGGACCGCACTACAAAACTAAGCTCCCTCCAAACCACGGCTAGGCAGGAGGAAAATCGAAGAGACAGTGATGCCGGCATCTTCCCCCGCCGAGTTGAAGCTTGCTTTCTGTCATCTCCGCTCTCCGAACGGGCTGTAGCCGTCAAACGTGTTCTGTGTTCTTTCAATTAGAAGCCTGAGCTGTCGCAGGCTTGTCATGAGAGATTAGGATGTGCTTCACAAGGTGCTGCCAAACGTGGTCGCTTATGGTGCGGTGGCTTCAGTGTGCAATCGAGCGAGGCACCCCTTCATATCGCACCCATGATATCGAGATGTATTTATAGTGAATAGCTGAAACATGTGATTGAAGGAAGTACCTGTACTCACTGCAGTTGCATGAAGAGATGCAAGAGAAGGACCAGGGTGCATGGGACTAGGATGTTCTCATACCAGTCCGCTATAGGCGGAAGGCATCGCAATACTTCCGAACGCTGTGATGAGAAGGTGATGCAAAGCGCTCTTGCCGGGAGCACCTATCAGTCCGAAGATTCGTGAAGATTTCTGCTGCAAGTCACGAAAGATACGTCCACAACTCCTGGCGGAAGCATGGCTTGGGAGCACTCTGATGACTTATTTATATGCAAGGATTCTCCTCCTCCTCCTCCTCCTCATCCTCTTCCTCCCACTCCTGCAAAATTTTGTCTGCATGAAAGGTGTGTTGAATTTACCTGTAAACATCTTGTGCCCTGCCTAGTGATTCGCTCAGCAATGCAGGATGCAAAAAACTCCTGCTATTACTACGACGACTGCTACTACTATACTACTCCTACTACTACTGCTACTACTTCTACTACTACTACTACTACTACTACTACTACTACCGGAGTGAAACAACATAGGAGTAGCAGTGAGTTCCAGATCGACGGGGTCGGCTTGTCTTGCGTGGCCTTAACTTCTGTGTTGAGTGTTTTCTGCCTAGTTGATCCCGTCGTGACTTGCAAATCTCGGGTCCCCGCGGAGCTGCCACAGGTGTGCCAGGTGGGTGACAAAAACTACTACTACCACCACCACCACCACTACTACTACTACTACTACTATTACTACTACTACTACTAGTACAACAACAACTACTACTACCAATTGCTACTACTACCAACAACACCAACAAAACCAACACAACCATAACACCAACAGCATCCTAGCCAGGCGGGAGGCAAAACAGCACCAACAGCACCAACAGCACTACCATCACCACCAGCAACAACAAAATTACAACCTACAACTGCATCTATAACAAACACAACAGCACCAACAACAGTGCGGCCAGCACCACCACCACCACCACCAACACAAACAGCAACAACAACAACAACAACAACATCACCAACGGCAACAGCCACAGCGACGGCGCCAGCGCCAGCGCCAGCGCAGCACCAACGCATTGCCAGCAGCAGCAGCAACAGCAATAGGAACAACAGCAACAGCAACAACAGCCACAGCAACAACAGCAACAGCGACAGCGACAGTCACAGCGGAAGCAGCAGCAACAGCAACAGCAACAGCACCAGCTGCAGCATCAGCAGCAACAGCAACAGCAACAGCAACAACAACAACAAGGTGGAGCATGGTGGAGCGTGTGTCTGCCGCCCCGCACGGTGTGTCGTTGATTTTGGAAGTTTTTTGGTCGAAAGCTTGAAAACCCAGAGTTTTGTTTGGTTTTCGTCAACAAGTTGTTTTTTAGGATTTTTGTTTTCCATAGTTTTTTGGTTTGTTTTTTGGTTACATTTTTTTCAGAATTTGTCGCAAATACCTGGCTTTTCGTCTTTTATTTTTGATGATTTTTGGGGTCTGTTGCGAGGTTTTCATCTGGAAAGCCGCAACTTGAGGTTTTTGCGTGGTTTACGATTCAAAAGTGAAGCAACAAGAGCGGCAACAAGGGCGTCACAGAGCAGCCGTTAGCGTTTGAGAAGTAACGCAACACAAGAAATAGAAGACACAAGCCGCATTCGCATGGACGTCATCACCCCTCCCCCCATCCACCCCCCACCCCGGCACAGAGCTGAAAGACAAATGCAAGTCTAAGCTGGCATGTGCAAAAAGTCGAGAGTCGGCAAAACACCGTAAAAACCAAAGCGAAATGCGACACGCATAGGAAGCAACAAAAGAAACAGCAAACACAAGTCGCATTCGCGTGGACGTCATCACCCCAGCAATCCCCGCACGGAGCTGGAACGCAAGTCTAAGCTGGCATGTGCAGAAAATCGAGAGTCGGCAAGGCCCATAGAAGAATAGGCTTCGGTTCTTCCTTCCAGACCCAAGGAATGGAACGTGTTGAGGGATTAGGGTCCCGTCCCTTTGTGTCGTCGTCATTCCAGACACCCGGAATGGCGTGTGTTGCCATCTGCAAGAAGTGCAATGCTGATGACGACATGTAGCACGTTGCAGGGATAAGGGTCCTGTCCCCGTTGTGGACGCGGCCACCCAGGTACTCCCATAGCGGGTACGTTTTCACGTCTGCTTACTCATGGTCTTCGTCGGTCCCAGCATGAGCAGCAGACCTGGGACTCCCTGCATTTTGACACACTGACATCAGGCGTTTCGTCCCTTGGTAACAGGGTTCCTCACACACGCACACACGCACACACGCACAGGAAGACACCGAAAAAAACTGTTCGAAATGGAGAGCTCGGCATGTTTTTGTGCAGTGCAGCCCGCCAGCTGTTGCATTTTTTGGCTAGAAAACACAGCAAAACCCAATGGAAAAACAGGTCCAAAGTTCAGTTCCAGGTGAGCAATGTGCCAAAACTCGAGTTTCAGCCTATGCTAGCAAAGAAATCGCACCACCCCGCGCGGCGGCAGACGCACACGCTGCCAACAACAATAGCATTTCATTCACACGCAGCGGGAGGATACTGTCTGAGGTGAAACTTAACGTCCACGCTTTGCGAGGGATCGACCTGCTGCTCTGCTTGCTACTTGCGCGGTCACTTCATGACGAGCCGTGCCTTAACACAGCACTCGCACACGCTCCGCCCCTCAAGGCTGCAAGCAATGAAGTCGGAATCGGACGTGTCTTCAGTGACTCGAGCTGCAGACTCTGGCACTAATGAAGTAGTTAACCGGCTGATTTGCAATGTATCGCTGACTGATTGGCGACGTCCATTTTGCACACTGCTGTCTCGCGAGAGTGTCTAGCCTCGCTGTGAAGGCTCGGTACGAACCACTAGCTCTATGTTATAGTAGAGGCGGTGAGGCAATGAAACACTCAGTAAAGGCAGGCCAGGCGCCATTTCCAGCCCGTTGTTGCTATTTGTAGATGGCGGAGCAACTCCTGCCGGACTTGTGCTGGTGACATGAAGCTCTCCTGTCCCTGGATGGGAGATCGTTGAGGTCACAGCCTTTGGCGGTGGTCCCAGGGGAGAAACTCCTCCCGGGACTCCACCTTTCACTGGCACTCCAGGTGCCTTACCTGGGCCCGGTGTCCGATCTAGATCCACTTCCTGACAGGTTAACAGGCATCGGAGGCGGCGGGCCCTTAGGCCCAGCTGCTTTAGGGGCTGCTTTAGGGGCTGCTGTGTCTTCGGAGTCGGACTCCCGAATGGCGTCACTGGCTGGCGGCGACCTGGATAGGTGGGGCCGACGTCGCACTGGAGGAGGGGTTCGGGAGGTCGCTCTGCTGCCACTCTTCTTCGGTGTTTCAGGCATGGCTTCTACAGTCGAGACAGCTGGTGAGTTGAGCCTGTACGAGAAGGCAAGTAGAGCTTCCAGAAAACTTTTGGCTGACAACTCACTTGCAGATCCGGGCCCACGACTGCGCACGGAGCTTCACATGCGACCTCGGGGTATACTTGCTGTCTGGTGATGAAATTGAAGTGACCTTCAGCCTCATAACATAGATTTTTGCGTGAGCAGCTGCATTATCAGTGTGGGGAGGGACTCCACCATTAGGTGAGGGTCCTCACGATCAGAGCGGCCTGTTGTCGCCTCCGTATTTAGTACCTGATTTCAGGCTCTGGTAGTACTCTATGACAGAAGGGGGCACTTCAGAAGGGGTGAGAATGACGCCGTTCTTGCTACGGAAAAATTGCACCCCTACCTGCATGGCTCTGCATGGATCGACCGCTACCAGCATCGACGAGCTATCTCTGAATCCAGAAACACCAGGTCTCCCATAGTCCCGATCCGAGACGAAGTGAACATGCTGCCGTCCCTCTCTGCCACGTCCGCCTTTGCCGCGGCCCTTGGAAATCTTGTTCTGAGGCAGAAGGCCTCGTTGGCGTATGGAGTCATACAAGGACCAGAATGTGCCATGATACAGCATTCTGGGGAGCATCTCCTCCGTGAGTTCCTCCAACACCTCATTGGAGTCCACATCAGAGCGAGAATGTCCTTGCAGAGCCCTGATGTACTTCTGGCCTTGGCAATCGCCCAGCTCGTACCTGCCTTTTGCGTTACTCCGAACGACCTCCATGAGGTCGCCTGCCGTGGCGTGCTGGGCCTGCACTCTTGGCCATCTCAGGACGTCCTCTAATTTGGCCCAACCAGCTGAAGTGACGCTGATGTAGGGTTTATGTCCGTGCCGGAGCGAAGCTGCTAGAGCCTTCGAGACTTCGAACGAGAAGCTGGTCTCCGGCTTCGTAGAGGCAGTGCAATAGTCCCCTAGATCGCCTGGTTGGCCCTCCCAGGCCACTATAGTGGAGCTACGTGGCGTTGTTGAGCTGTGGTCAATCTCTGACGCCATGGTCG